TAGAGGGGGCCTAGCGGAGAAGGTGTTGGCCACGCCCTCCCGCCTTCGCGGTCCGCGAGGGGGAAACCATAGAGACGGGCTCTGGGATAGAGAGGCCCTGTGCGCGGGCGCCCCCAGGCGACGGGAGGGAGACAGGCCCTGGGAAGGCGGACCCCGGCCCGGCCCGGCGCTCTGAAGAGGACGGTGGTGGTGGGCCGGCTTCACCTTGGCGCAGTGTGTTCAACTTTCCAAAGCGCTTGGGTTGTGCGTCTCCTTCTCTTACTGCTATAGAAGCCCGAGGGACGGGATAAACGGACTGTTTATCTTGTTTTACAGACGGGAAAGCTGGACTCGGGGGAAATGACTTGGCAAAGGTCATTAGGTCAGCAGCAAAGCCAAAGCCCAGAATCCACATCTTCCGGCTCATACATTACCTGCGGCTCATTCCACAGAAAGAGGGCCTCCGTAACGACCTCATTAGAACTTCAACCCAAGGAATTCCCTGACTTTTAACCTAACCTGCTTCCAGATTTTAAGTTTATTTTAAAATTTGACCCTGCCTCCTCTCCAAAGCATCCTTTGTGCAAGGACTTCTCTTTGGGATCTCTGTTGCCTTTGACCCCTCCCTCTTTCCCTGTCCAGAGGTTCAAACCGTTCCTGGTGTGATGGCCGGCCAGGCTCATCCCTGGAGGACCAGGGTCTCCCTGCTCAAGCCTCCTTGTTCCTCCCCTGGTTGTTTGGCCCTAAGCCAAGCTTAGCTCTGGGCCCTTAATGGGAAGGCCTAAATGCTATTCAGATAAGAGAAGAAGACACTGAAGAGGAGTGGTTGAAACCCAGTTTATTAGACCAGAGGCATGCGTCACCCTTAGCCCTGCCTGCTGTTCTCCATCCCGTGCACACGCCCTGGCCTTGCTCCTGCTTCCCTCTGGAGAGGTCTGCTCTCTAAGGAATTACTAGGAACTAAAGTTCCCAAAGATCCTATTGCCTCACCCTCCAGCTCCAGGTCAGTGCACAGGTGACCTGCCACAGGTCCTGTTCTGGGGTTGGAGACCAAGAGATAGCTGGGCAGAGGAGGCCTGGGAAGGGGCAGGGCTCTGGCCTGGGAGGACCGCCTAGTGGGAGGGGCACAGCAGGCTCCCTCTCTCACTCAGTTTCTCTTTAAGGTAGGAATAGCGCTCAACGTCCCCTCTTTCCTCCCACTACCAAACCATACCTCACCAGAAAATATAAGTGATGGGTTTGGGTATCAGATGAGGAAAGGGGACTGGGCCCTAGAAGGAAGGAAAGGCCTCTGAGGGAAGACCTCAGCTCTGCCTGTCAGCAACCCCACTGCTCCATCAAAGGAGTCACTGACCCATAGCCCCCTCTGTCTTTGAAGCCCTGGGCTTGGTGTGCAGAGCAGATCTCCATCCCTTGGGTGGGGGCTGTCTCTCTATCCGTTCCTTCCCCTGGGAGGCCACAGGCAGCCTTACAGAGGACGCTGGGGTGGGAGGAGCAGGGGAGGGGACGTTAAGGCTACAGGGAGGACAGAGAATGCCCGGGTTAGGGGGAGAGAGGGTGAGGCCAGAAAGAGGCAGAGCTTGTGATTCACAGCTTCCTTTATGTCGCCACCGAGACAGTGCGAAGGTTACAATGCGCGTGTCGTCTCCTTGTGCTTCTCAGAGGGATGTGTGTACACAGTACAGACACCAGGGGAGAGAGTCCAACTCTTTATACAGGTGAAGGCATTCAGAGACCAGGGAGGGAGCAGAAACATGGGAAGGGGTACTTGGGGTGGGAGGATGGTTCTTAGAGACAAGAGGGGAGGGGGCAGAGACAGACAGAGTTAGGGAAAAGTATATACAGAGATATAGCAATATAGAGTCTGTATCATATAGAAATAGAAAATGCAGATGAGGTTGTTGAGAGAAGCAAATGAAGTTGGGAAAGAGGACGTGGGAGAATTCCATAAGAAAATTTATGGATGTGGCCCTCCGCAGGGGCCCTGGGAGCGGGACCAGTGCCCCCTCCCTGAGCTGGAAGCCAACCAGCTGTATCTTCTATGGGACGGTAGAGGAGGCTGCCTCTTGGGATTTCTCTCCAGCAGCTCTGGGGTGGGGTGAACTTGTAGGTACCAGGATGTGGCCTACAGCACCAGGGCCACATCTTGTCCCCATCTCCACTTCTTCAGGGGATCCCTACCCCTACCTCCCTAGTGACGTCACATGGTGTATGTGTGGGGTGGGGGGCGGGGCTTAGTTCCTGCCTGGAGACTTGCGATTGGGAGGTGGTCATGGGCTGAGAGGGTCTCTTAAGGCTGGGGAAGCCCCCCCACCACCACTGTCCCTCCCCTTCCAGGTACATTCTCTGGTTTAGGGCCAAATTCCAGATCTGAATGATCCCCTCCACCCCGCCCCCCCCTCTACTAGGAGGGGGCTTTGGTGACTGGTGGCAGCAGAATGTAGGTGGGCACTCGGATGACAGATAGCCAGACAGACAGATTCAGGCTGGGAGCTGGGGGAGGCAGCATGGAGCAGAGAGGGGCAGCCTGAGGTCACTTGCCCAGTTCTCTCTTTTTAGTTTCTTTTTTAGATTAGTTTTGTTAAAAATAAAAAGAATAGGATAGAGACAGGGAGAGTACTCTATGGTCAGGACTCCTTCCTCACCACAGACAAGAAGAAAGGACTGCCCAGGAGTGGGGGGCTGCCTTGGGAGGGGGAGAGTGTCCCCAGGGCAGATGTGGGGGGCACTTGGGGACCCCCTTGCTCTTCTAGCCCTCCTCATCTAGGCCTTTGGTACAGTGGCCTGCAGGGCTCAGCAGGTAAAGTCCTCGAACGTGCCTCGGGCCGGATGGTGAGGTAGGATGTTGGCAGCATACGTCATCCCAGCAGGATGGCCCCGCAGGCTCTCACACGGGTTCTGAGGGGCGGCACAGGACAGGGACTGGTTATCGACAGATGGCACTAGGGCATGGGGGAGGCAAAGGAGAAAAGGTAGCAAAGGGTGGTCCAGGGGTGAGGGGGAAGGGGCGGGGTGGGGGGCACCCATCTCTGGCTCCCTCACGTGTCTTTTGACGTCATCCAGGCTGAGGGCCACGCCCTTGTCTGCGCTGCTCCTTTTGGCCTCCTTCTGGCACTTGCCTCGTCTGCACAACTTGTGCTTAATGACCTGGGACATGTGGGGTGGTGAGTGGGTGTGTGGGTGGCCTGGAACCCCGATCCTTCCATGGCCCCTGCCCTGGCACGCCCCCCCCCCGACCCGCTTACCTCATAGGCGTAGTCAAAGAGCTCCAGCACCGTGAGGATGCTGGCGCCAATGAACAGCCCCATCTGGCCCCCAATGTCACCTGCAGGGGGGCACAGGGAGGTCAGTACGGTCAAGGCACCATGGGAGCCGCAGAGCCCACCGGGACGGGCAGGCAAGTCAAAAGTGCGGAAGGATAGATAGCCTTTGCGCAGAAGGAGCACAGAGTGATTCTGATGGGGTCTTCATGTTCTCCTCCAGGCCTTTCTGTGTTTTTTTCCCTACTTTTCTTAAAATGAATAGGTGTTATTCAGAGAAAAATAATTGTTTATAAAATACCCCCAACACTCTTACTCTCTAGGCAAATTTTCAAGGGTGTAGGAAATAGTTCCCCGTTCATGACCAGGCCTATCTCTTCCTATTTGCCCTAAGAGAAGGCTCGGCCCCCTCCCTCCACCACATACCAAGACAACAACATGTGGGGAAAGGCCCCCGGGGGTGGTTGAGGAGGAAGAGCTCATGGGACAGAGTGAGCAGCCTGCTCTGGTGGAGGGCGTCACACCAGGCCCGTGACATGGGAAGGGGACAGGTGCCATCAGCAGCTCACCCAGGAGCCCTGCAATCTCATAGGCCTTCTTCTGTTCAATGGTCTCATAGTTGAGGACTTCAAAGAAAATGTCCAGCACCAGGATGTTCTCCCTGCAAAGGGGTTGGGGAGGAGACCTCGGTTCAAGTCACATCTCGGTCCCTTACTAGCTGGGCAACTTCAGTACGTTATCCTCTGAGTCTCCGTCTCCATATCCGTCAAATGAGATGTTGATGGGATACCTGCCCGTTAGGGTTGTGGTGAGGATTACATGTGATGGCACACACAAAAAGAGGCTCCATACACTAGCAAGGGCGAGGTGACCCCAGACACAGCACGGAGAACGGAAACAGAGGATGAGGTGAGGAGGAAGGAGAAAGAGGCACTTCCCCTGCTTGTTCCGACGTGATCTTTCCTCCTGTCTGCTGGCCCCCACCAAAGCCTGCTGACACCCCCCACAGTCCCAGCCCAAGGGCCCCCACCCTGCATAGCCAGCGCCCTTACCCTATGTACTGCTCAGACTTGTTGAACTTCTTGGCCAGGTATTTGGCGGATGCTTTGCTGGGGATCTTGACCATGGACAGCTCCTTGGCATAGCGGGTCAGATTGCAGGGCATTTCACACACACAGTACTCCTGGTCCTTCTCCACCAGGAAGTCTGTGCCCAGCCAGGTGAGAGGCGCCAGTTGAGTGGTGCCTTTCGGCCAGCACCTTCCCGCCTGCACATCCTGGCCTTGCCCAAAGGAACCCGGCCCCCTTCTCTTTCTGACCTGCCCTTCCCCTCGGCCCTGCGCCCGCCCGCACCGGCCTCCCCAGGGTGTTTCCTAGTCCTGTGTCTCATTCCCTCAGAGACCTTGGGAGTCAACCAGCTGAGCTGCCGAGGAGAGAGAGGGAGGGCCCCTCCCCCCTCCCAGGTGACCCTGGTCCATTTTTCACAGGGCCTTTAGAGATGCACTTCCCGGCCTTGCTAACGTCAGACACAGGGGAGTCCAGGTGAAGCCCGATCCAGGAGTTATTTGAAGTTTCTGGGAGCTTGGTCTGAAACCCCTGTGCCATGGCTGGCAGTCCCTCCTTCCCTCCCCCAGACTGCCCCGGGGCGGGGGCGCTCACCCAGAGCAGGATCCGCACACTCCTTGTACTGCTCTGGAGTGCAGTAGGGGGCGTCCCCTACAGAGGAGAGAGACAGTGGTGTAGGATGAATATGAAAGGGCTCTGTGACAGTGGTTGTAACAAAGGTCTAGAAGCTGGGAGAGAAGGAGAGGGTGAGACTAGCTACCCCCCAGTCTGTCCTGGAGGTGACTCACCCCACAGTCCATGCTCCTGGACCCTCCCACCCATCCATCCCCACGGGAACAGGCAGGAGATACGGTACAGAGACACATGGGTGTGGAATGGGCGTCTCATCGATGAGAATGAGGGCTGGGACTGGGGGAGGGAGAAGCCAGCTGGTCTTCCTTCCATGGCTGTAGGAGGTCAATATGCACGGGGAGCTCGAGAGGGGCAGGGTCGGCTGAGGGGCCCCGGGACTGTGTTGGGAGCTGTGGGGCCTGACCTGGCATGTGCACCATGCGGCAGTTACAGTTCTCCACCAGGTAGCGGGTCTCACAGTCGATGCGGCAGGCGGTAATGCTGTAGGAGTCGAAGAAATCCGAGTCCATGGTAACAGCTTTGCAGGTGCCCCAGGGCGGGGGCAGGTAGATGAGCTGCTGGGAGAGCCGGGGAGCTGGGGGGTGTGGAGACTTCTCCCCCAGTCACCGTGATGGGCTTCTCTAACAGGATGCAGAACTCAGGCGTCCTGCCCCTCTCCCTCCGCAGCCTCTGAGCGTCTTAGAGTTTAGAGAGCATCCCAGTTTATCAGCTCATTCGTGCTTCTCACGAGCCAGATCGCTACCCAGGCTCTCGCGCATCTGTCCCTCCTGTTAGCGATGGCCCACCGCTCCATCCTGAGCACCCCACCCGGGACCATCCTCCTGCAGCCTCTCACCCTCTGCTCCTGGCAGGCCACAAAGGTCTGGAACCCTGGGGCCACACCGAAGCCCAGCTGGTCGATGAAGGGAGGTTCATCCTGACTGTGGATCTGCACTTTGATGCCAGCTTCGAAGGACGTCTCATCTATGGGAACGAGGGGGGAGGGTGTTGAGGAGGCTTCTGAGTCCCTAACCTCCTCCAGGGCTGGGGCATCCTGCCTCTCCGGGAACAGGCACAGCACACACTGGGACTGGGGGCTCCGTTTATGGGACCCCGCCCACCCCTAGCTTCCTTCTGGGTTCACCAGCCCCGTGCTGGCCCGATGACTGCACCCTGCACGCTTCTTTCTTACCTGGGTTCGGCTATGCACATTGGTGTTTCCAGTTCTTTCTCAGATGCTCTCCACTTCCCCCTCCCCGCCCTTTTCTCCCTTCTCCCCCATCTCTCTCTGCCCCAGGGCCTCTGAGACCAGACAGACGACAGGCAGCCCAAGAGAGGGAGTTATTTATAGAGCGAGTGGCAGCCACTGATGGAGAGGGGCGGCTGGTTACCTTGGAGAGCAACTGAGCCAGGAAGGGGGAGCTGGAGAAACGTGAGTGTGGCAGTCAGTCAGGTGGCCTCAGAGAGGGAGATGGGGAGGTGCTGGGAGGAAGGGAGCAGAGCCCCGGGCCTGCCTCGGGTCCCACAGTGGAGCCCAGGAGTCCCCTGGCAGAGGCTGAGGCCTGGAACCGCGGGGAGGGGCCCCCGAGGGGTGACATACCAGTCTCCCCCCACACAGGCAGGTACTCGTCCTGCTGGATGTCTAGCATGATCTCCAGTCCATTGCCCGTCCCTCCCTTCATGGTCTTCAGCGGCGGACGCCCGTCTCGGCCAGAGTTGAACGTGTAGCACTTTCCATACCGTGTGAAGACCTGGCAGGGGCAGGTGAAGAGCTGAGAGCCCTGCCCGCACC